TGGTTTTGTGAAAAAGTATGTAACGGGCAGAAGGAGGCGTGGCAGACCCCACAAAGTATATATATTCTTGATCAGCGCGATGAGCTGAGTCGATATAGCCCTGTCCGTCTGTCCGTCCGTCCGTCCGTCCGTCCGTCCGTCCGTCCGTATGAGTGCGTCGATCTCAGAAGTTATAAGAGCTAGAGAGCTGAAATTTGACATGCATACTCGTGTGTACCATACGCAGTACGAGTTTGCTTTATTTTTTCGATAAATCGTCCGATAACTTTTTTATCGAGAATAATCGAAAAATTGATTTTGTTTTTTTAGCCTAATTTGAACACTTTTAGACCTGGAGTCTTCAAATTTGCGTTGTATATAAAGACAATCGATACAAATATTTTGTCATTTACAGATTTTGGATACCACGCCCCTTTCCCCCCAATTTACAAAAAACGCATTTCAAGTACTAGAGACTTGTGCTTTGGAATGTACACACATATTCACCATATGATTACGTTCTAAAAGTTTCATTAAGATCGTATGTCTACAAAAGAAATTATTCAACAAAGAAATTCTCATAATATTGCCCACACTGCAGCGCAGCCCAAGCGCAGTCGCTGCTTACTGCGCAGTTAGCAGAGCACGGGCTTATGCGTGCGTGTGGATGCATGTGCATAAAAGAAGTGCAGAATGATTAGAATATCAGCTTAGAGGGTTCAGGGTATCTCCTAGTCGAGCAGTCTCGACTGGAGCCTTCTTACTTGTTTTTCATTAATATGGTATGTTTGATTGTAATTTATTATTACGATTAATATATTTCCTAAATATTATATACGAATATACATATATGTGCACTAATATATAGTAACGATTGTAGTTTATTGTATATACGAATAAGTTTAATCAAATTTTCAACATGTGCTGCCTTCAATCATTCGTTATTAATCACACTCAAAGTCTCATTGATCTTAATCTCAGCTTAAATGCATATGAAATATGAAATCTGTAATCCTCAGTCATTTCGCTCATTCCCTTCACTTACTTATCGCTTTTAATTCGTCCTCTTATCACTTATAAATTCATGCGCTTCCTGACAAACTGTGGGAAAGATTAAAGTTTATTTATTTTCCATTTTTGTTGCGGCTTGTGGCTGTTTCCTTTCTTTTTTCCTCGAGTGCCCTAATCTTTTGATTTTTTTTTATCATTTTTGTTTTGGGTTTTCTGGTTTCGCTTAAAAAAAAAATAAATATGAAACAAAAATTCCTGGAATGACTTTAAGAAGACTTTATAATATTTGCTTAAGTTAAGTGAAATGGAGTATCACAAATATATAAAAATTAATTTGAATTATGGGCAGCCTGTCTATTTTATCATTTTCTCAGACTCAGCTTATATGTATATCTGCCCTCGTTTTTTCTTTTCCAAGTCTTTTCAAAGCTTAAAGCTACGTCAGGCACTTGACTCGCCCACACTCTGGCAGAGACTTCTTTCTTGTTTGTCTCATTTTGGCCAGACTTTGAAATGCATTTGGCCCGCATTAAATAACTCAAAATGGAATATACAAAGTCCGAAAATTCTGTGTGGAGGAGTTGTGAAAAGTTTTCTTTTAAAAAGTTACGTACGATTGGATGACACTTCTGTTTTGGGGCCCTGGCACGATGGCGACGACGTAGCTCGATGCTTTTCCAGATGTTGCAACGTCAAAAGTGCAATGCCGGACAGAAACTTATTTAGTCTATTTTCCACATTTCCACAGAGCACTTGACTTGTACGAGATAGCCAAGTCTTTGGTCCCGGCACACGGCACCCGCCTCCCGCCACCCGCCACCCGTCAACCGGCGCTGGATCCATGCGTCTTCGTTTTGTCTCATTTCGCTGCGGATGGCACAGCGGCTACTCTTGACAAGTTTGAAATTTCAATTAAATTCATTTGAACTGCGGCCAGAGTCTGCACCGTAATGAGCTGTAGACAAGCAACCATTTGTTGTTGTTGTTGTTGTTGTTGTCGTTGTTGCTGTGGGGCAAACTGAGTTGACAACTCCATTGGGGTAGAGACACATGGTCAGCCGCAATGAACTCTAGTGTCCAGTGGCTGAGCTCGTGGGCGGTGCGAAATTTGTGAGCGGAAAATGTCTTCATCAATCAAAGAGTGGAGCAGCGACTGACGCAGTCACTCAACTCAATTCAATTCCATCTACAGCAAGGCAGTCAGTCGCCTCTGGCATTCCCCGCCCTAAATGTTTTGTTGCTAAATTTCAATTACAGCTGTAACTACTAAGTACATTCAAGTCCAGTCAACTTTTCAGCGTAAACTCTTCACTCACACACACACGCACATAGAACGAACAGAACCAACTCTAGCCAGCTTCAACTGCAAGCCCAAGCCCCAGTCCAAGTCCAAGTCCAAGTCTTTGATTCGGTACATCATCAGTCAGCCTGGTTCTGGTTCAGCTGTCAACGAGACGAGCTGGGATGGCCAAAGTTTTTTTGGCCAACAAATTTTCCATCAGCTGCAAGTTGGCAGTCCACAAATTGTTTAGCTTTTTGGCAACAACATATATATATATATGCGCAGTTTGTTGCCTAATTGCTCATGTGCGGTCATTTAATAAGAAATACGATTTGGACCCACAGCAATTTCAGACCAAGTTAACAAATGCATGTGAAGCTGTTTAAGCTGAGGAGTTTGTCGAGAAGATTCATACGACTTTAGTTGAAATTTGTTTTTCAATTATTATAGATATGTAGAACTTAGAATATACAGTCGAGTTTCGAAGATTTGTACCCGGCTATATCAAAAATTGCGATAAATCGAAAAAATTCTATCCCCTTGAAAAATATTCTCGATAATTTGAGTTTTTGTGTAAATCGAAAACAAACTGATTTCCTTGCCATTTCGAATTATCGGGACTCGACTGTATGTGTCTCGATATATTCCAATATATATCTATAAATCTGCTTAGAATCGTGCTAAATATAATCGAGTACTTATGTTTAATTGCATAATGCTGTTTAGGCTTGTGCTTTTTGGGTTAATTAACAATTCCACTTGCGAGTCAATTGCAATGCGAGCCCAAGGAAACACTTAAAATCGTGCCACATCCACTGCCATGGGTATGTGTGGCTCCCGTGCTGGTTACAAATGTCGACCCGTTCGCCAAACTGCTTGCCAATTTCAAGTCTCTGCTGTCATTGTGGTCGAGTGATGTGCCCTCAGCTCCCTTTGGTGCTGCACCGCATGGCGTCTTCCAGTCCGTAAATTGTCAAATGTGTGCATGTGTGTGCTTGTTCATCTAACCTCCTTTGTCTCTCCCTCCCTCTCTCATTCTCTCTCTCTCTCTCTCTCTCTCGCTCTATCTGCCGACTGGCCGCATTTCCGTTCCCCAGCGACATTTGCCTGTCAGTTTGGTTTGGTTTGGCTAGGCTTTGGTTTGGTTTGCTTGGCTCGGCCTCGCTGGCTGGTGCTTAATTATTACAGCATAAATTATCGGTAGCTCGGCCAGCGCCAGTTGCATCTTGAGATGCGTCGGCGGTTGGTCTCGACCTCACCCTCTCCTCCTCCCTTCCTCGCGCTCTCTGTCTCTGCATCATTCACATGATTCACTTAACGACTGGTCGGCTCTCGATTTGCATACTAAGAGGCTTTTGTTGCCGGCCCAAGCACACGCGCGGTCAGCGTTCTATACGGACGGCCGCCGCTGATAAGCTGCATTCACCCTGCCCAGCACCGCTCCCCTCCGCCTTGCTTCCGCCCTGCCCTGGCATTTGAGACCGGTTTGCAGGCCTTGTTCCATTGTTCGATTCGATTTGGAAATGCTGCGCTTGCAACCGAGTTCCATTTGGCATTGACGTTGTCATCTACTCCACAGATAACGCACATTATACTCTGCTTTGTTTGCACGCATTTAACTGGATTGTTTATTGAAATCTTCTTTAATATATATTCTATATGTGTAGATATATCTATTTTATTATTTTCAATATGGTATATCTGCAATGCGCTGCCATTAGACTCGATGTTTAGGCAGACGGCACTTAGTTTCGTTTTATTCCATTTTTTATACCCTGTAAATGTTTGAATGGCTTGTATAGGGCATGCAACCTTGATATAGGAGAGGGAGTTTTTTGAAGCTAAGATTACTTAGTGAATATATTTGAAATATATTTAGTGGATTTTTTAGAAATTAAAATTTATTAATTTTTTATTATTATTTATTAAAAATCAATAACAAATTATTTATATATGTATATATTTTGTTGTTTTTTTTTTTCTTTTCTTTCCTTTTTTCAGCATTAAATTAAACGATTTCAAATCCACCCACACCTCCCTTATACACCTACTCAAGGGTATCATTTGGTCGGCGATTCACATTTGTCATCCGCCTACATTTTTTTGGGTAACTCAGTTTTTTATTGAACTCTTTGGCAGTGGCACGTGATTTATTGATCTGCTCGCACTTGGTTGCCGCGCTGCCTGGACTGGGAATCAATTTTTTATCGCTAATGGCAGGGAGTTGAGTTAGGTTCGGTTACGAATGCTTCAGACAGTGCCACGATTCTCAGTTCCAGTCAACTCAGTCAGCCATCTCAGCCAGCATTGATGAGTGTGTTAGCGACTGCTAGAAACATTTACCATTTACCATTTACCACGCTATCTTCTGATGGATTTGCCGTGGGAATTAGTAATTTCGTATGCAAGTTGTGTCTGTGGCGGTGCTTTGTGTGTGTCTGTGTGTGTGTATGTGTGGATGGATTTGGTTACCCTGAGATCCTAAGTAAATATGATGGGTAATTTCTTTTTAAAGGTTTTCCGTGAGCCATTAGGCAAATTGCAATACGAGTAGGCTTTAAAGTATTCTAAATCAAATTAAATAGCTGCCGTCGCATTGAATTTGTAAACAGACCCCGAGCGAGGGTGCTGGGAGGTGGACATGAATTTTCTATTTATATAAACGCAATAAGAAAACTTTTTGTTTGATCATCATTTATTCAATTTCCTTTACTTTTTGTCTTTGCAGGTAAAGTTCAACCTAATCAGTTATGTGAGAATAATTGAAAATGTGTGTGGGTAAGCATATAATTAGATTAGAAATTATATTGGAATAATTACATCATTTAATGTAGGTCGGAGGTGGAGAAGGTACAAATCAGTCAAACAAATGTAAAATTTTGAGGTACCTTCACTTTATTGATTTAACATTTAGCTCTTAACTGCCCTAAACATGTGAAAGTAAGGCTTAGACTAATTCTTCTTTATGCTTAAGACATGGCTAGCTTTAGATCTAAACGCTCTTCACTTCCAATACACAAGTTCAAGTAGCTCAATTAAATTGAGCAAAAATCCAATAACATTTAATTTAGAATATTTTAATCAATCAAATAAAATATTCTTTGAATAATTTGTCAGTGGCATCAGTTTGATTGAAAGCGCGTGTAGAGAATCTTTGCATGTTTAATAGCACGCAACAATTTTTTTTATTTTTATGTCAGGTAAAATAATTCTTGAAATTTATATATGTATATGAGACACACACACACACACACGCATTCAAAATATTCTGCTGCTTCTGTGATTGGATGCTGTTGGCTTTAAATGTCTACATGGCAGAAGCGAAGCTAGGAAAACCAAAACGCAAGCATTCTAGAAATGACAACAGAAATTTTGCTAACCCTCCCAGCCACGTGCCCCTCTGTTGACATTTCGCCCATCTCTCAGACGTACATACATACATATATACACGCGCTGCCAGATTTTTGCTAAAGAAAAAACTAATCCCCTTGGCACGCGGCGGCGACACTTCCAAGAAGCAAAAATTCGCAGCAAACAAAGTCAAAGAGGAACCCAAAAGTGGGTTGGGACTTCTCGGAGCTCGGAGCTCGCAACTCGAAGCTCGGCACTGACACAAGGACACACAGGACGCACGAATCCCGAACATACTATGGACATTTGGGCGACTGGGCTGGGCGCGGCAGGGTAGGGCAGGGTTGGGTAGTAAAAGCGTACCGTTATACAAACATTACATAAAAATATTAAATTTATGATGCAATAAAAAAAGAGTGTTAAAAGGGAGAGAGCTGCAAGAGAACAGCGAGAGGGGTGAACCGAAAGCAGGAGGCGAGGCAATGTCAGCATGCGTGTTGGAAGGGTACGTGACTTAGACGTGGGTTCAGGCCTGTCCATGGGTTTGTTGCCTCTTGGCTGCGACTCGTTGGCAAAGTGGAAACAAATTAAAGAAAAATGCGCTTCATGAAAATTGGACAAAGCTAAAGAACATTTCCATACATCAGCCGTGACACAAACGACCCGACACAAGTGATCAACTGGACCGACCAACCGGTCCGGCCTATCCCAAAATGATCTCTCATCATGCAAAAAAAGAAAAAGTGGAAAACAATATCAATGGTAACTGTTTTTAGTTAAGCCCTCACGTCAATGTTAATAAAGGGATGGCAGTCACACAATGAGACAAACCAAGGGTTGCTCCTGGGCCGGGGGTTGTCTGTGCGGAGACACAGAGAAAGAGAGCGAGAGAGGGAGAGAGAGGACGAACAGCAGCAGGGTGAAGTGGCAAGCAACTCTCTCACGTACAATTTGTGTCTGTTGTCTGCTCTTAGGCAAAAACTGTCACACGCCGTCGGCTTACTTTGACTTTTGACAGGCCAAAGTTGTGCGAATCCATAGTCTGGGGCTTTTGCGCTTCGAATCAACGTCTGGCTGGCAATTATATATGTGAGCACGTGCCAGCCGAAGCTGAGGGCACATCAATTTGATTGGTTGTGCAAAATTTTCATTATTCTTAATATATAATCAAATTCAGTGTGCTACCAAATTGGAGAAACGAACGCACGAAACAATTGACAGCTCTGTAAGAATTGTAATTTGGTGTTTCACTTAATTTCATTAAGTGGATATTCTTTTATTGTGAAGTTCATATGGGATTAGGCCGCAGACTTAATGAAACTTAATGAAATTTGCTTTTCTAATACTCATTAGTATGTGATAAACTATATAGTACTAAATTTATATATTTGAGTTTCTTAAAATAATGTGTAACAGGCGAAGGGAGGCGTGGTCCAGAAAGAAGAAGAATAATTGGAAAAGCAGCTATAGGCAAAGGTATAGGTTAAGGTAACTCCCAGTGGAGCAGTCCCACCTAGAGGAATCTTGTTCACTTTTCTTCTAATCGAATTATTATAGCTGTGAGTGTGGGTTCATATTTAAAATTAGATTTCACCTTGAAGTCTTGTTGACAAAATTTCTTAGGGCTGAAAACTCCTTTAAAAAAAAAAAAAAAAAAAGAATAAATAATGCACAGCTCTTGCACTTACTAATCAATTAAAAATGTAGGTAATGAAAATTTGTGAAACAGAGGAAACCATTATGCAGTTAAATATTCCTTTGAAATATTCAATATGTGTAATTAATAATATATACTTGCTAAATATATTGGAAAGCAAAATATTTAAACTATTTCAAATTCCATTGAATTTTAATTTAAGAATTTGTGACTTTAATATTTATGCTATTTGTGCTCAGCTTCGTTAATTAAATTACAAATGTCGATATACATGCATAAATTTCCACAGTCCCTTGTTTTAACGCCCATTTCAATATCCTCACACACACACTCGCACACTCACACACGCCCCTCTATATAATTTGCATTATTTGCATGGATTATCCAAGCCCATTCCGAATATTTCCACTGCTATTATGCAATCACAGACATGTGTCCATGCCCCGCCGCCTGGCCCAGTCGCAGTCGCGCGCGGAGGTAAGTAAATAATCGTAAACACGCGACATTGCTAACAACAACAACAACAAAAACAATAGCAACAACAATAACTTTGGCCATTGAAAATCTCGTAAATCAATTTTTATACATTCTAATTATGTGATTAAGTGATTTATGACCTTTCTGTGCCGTTGACTGTGGCTGTGACTTCTGCTGCGCCACCCGGTGGCACACACACACACCTCGTCCTCAGTCCACACCTTCATGTGCCACCGCTCTTCACTTCACTTTTTCTATTTAATTTTTTTTCTATATATATGGATTTTTTTTTTTTTTTTTTTTTTTGCGTGCCACATGTCTCATGCGTCATTTTATGGTCAGCGTGACGCTGCGATTGTCCCACCCGCCTCTCTCTCTCTCTCTTTCGTATATAGCATCTTTTGGCTTCGTTTCGGGATGCATTGACCCAGCTCAAAATAGAAAAATACAAAAATTATGATGCTCCACATTTAGGGAGGTGTATGTATTGCGATCTCGTTTCATTTTGTTTGTTGTTTACGCTCTTCAAAACATTTTTACGGTCGCATTAAAACGCACAAAATGTGTCCGTGACATTTATGATGTGACAACGTAACCTAACTACCCCACACTCAGTCACACACACACACACACACACAACACTTAGGCCACGTCTTGCGAGTGTTGTCCCAGTCAAAGTCACAAAAATTCTCCCTGTCCATGACCCACACAAATTGTTTGCTCTTTGGTTACTTTTATGCGGCTCGTTTAGTTTGTTTGTTCAGTTTTTGTGGCTCTTGAAGTCGTTGAGAGTGCAGAGCGTCTCGTCTGCATTGCTTGCCTTCTTCTACTGCTCATCCAGATTTGAAATATGATTGGGTTCCATTTAATTGATGGCTTGATTGATGTATTATAGTGGAAGCTGAAGCTCTCTTTGTATGTGTGTGTGTACTCGTGCATGTCTAAGTATCCATTTCCCGCTGATTTATAGTGGCTCGTAAAGGAATCAGAACGCGTGTGGCATTTTTAAGTGTTTCACTTTCCACATGTTAGTATGCAGGTTAAGTGGTAACTAATTTGTGTATTTATTTGCACATTCTGGCTTTGAAATCTGTCTGATATTTCATGTGCTGCTTTGCATTAAAATAAGCCAAAACCTGAGCTAAACCATCCTTAGTCACTCATTAATAACTTGGCACAGTTGACAGTCTTGTCTAAATGGTAACGTGTTCGCTGATAAGGCTCAGACCTTCATTGATTGATCGTTGGCATCGGCATGTGCTTTGTAACTGTCAACTTTTGTTAAATGATACTCACAGCAGTTGTGTAAATAAAAGAAGAAGAGGAAGAGGAAAAAAAGAATACAAAAGGTTAAATGAATATTTTAAAAAAGGCGTGGGCTTTGCCATTGTGTCTTGTGTCAATGACTGGAGCTCCAAGAGTTTGCATATTAAGTAGATGATGTCAAAAAGAACTTTAGAATTTAAAAGAAAACTCTTCACAATTTATGATAAAATAGGAACAAAACGTGTAATCAATACATCAAGCAGTAAAAAAAGTAAACCATTCCGTAGAATGGATCATCTTAGCTTCTTAAGATGATTTTATGAACAAATATTAAGTGGAAAGTTTCTCGATTCTCATAAAAAACAAAAACTTTTCATTCAACCACTTTAAATTCTGATAGGCAAAAAAATAAAAGAAACTCATTTCCATAGTTTTTATTTCTTCAAACGGACGACTTTAAATTGTTTCAGCATAATTACAATTTTCGGGTGTGCGCGTATGTGTGTGTGTGTGTGGCACATAATTTATGAGTTTTTTAATGCCGGCTAAACAAAGTCAAATGTCCGTCAGTTGTCACGCTTAGGGTCCGGAGACGACCATACGCAAATTTAAAGGATTATCAAATGCAAAAGAGCCAAACAAAAGCCGGGGTCGAGGCTGTGCGCCACTGCTGCGAGGGTTTCTCTCTCGCTCTCTCAGCAACCCATAAATCATGGAATCAAAATGCCACTTTGGACTAAGCGTTAAGCTCTCTGGATGAGGCATAACACGTACTAAATATGCAAGGGGCATAGGGCGGGGGCGAGCAGCAGCACTGCAAACGTGGCTAGGGCGTTGTCTGACAAGCACCCAAAACATACGACGATGTGCGAACGTATCGCAGACATATGCTAAGACAAGACATTTAACTTCACACAATTTTCATAAGGAATAAGAAATTAAAAATTGGAAAGACATGAATTTGATAACACTTAAGAAGTGGATAAATTAAAAAATTGTTAAATTAATCAAAAGCCAGCATATTTTTAAGAAGAGTATAATGTAAAATTTTTTATATTTAAAATAACTATATTTTTAGCAATACTATATTTTCCGAATTTTTATAAATACTTTAAATTGTATTTATATTAGACACATTATCAAATAATTTTGATGCAAATAATTTATAATATTCAATTAAATTATTATATTAAAATTAAAAAAAAAAAATAAATAAATAAATAAATAATGAAAAAAAAATATTAATAAATAATGAAAAAAATATTAATACATTAAAATGTTTTGTTCATTTTTTTTAAATATTTATGAAAACTATTAGCACGTTAAAAAAGTCATTTAAATAACAATTTTAAGAGATAATATTAAATTTGAATCTTGTATTAAAGAAAAAACAAAAATAAGTATCACATAATAGTAATAAAAAAATAATATAATAATAAAAAAATAAAAAATAAATTATATATTTGATTATTATTTTAAATATTTAGGTACAAATATTACCATAACTCAAGTATTTTAAAATATTTTCGATTAGCATAAAAATTCAATAAAAATCTAGCAAAGATCCGGAAAATAAGTCTCCTGCCTTCAACTTAACTGCCTTAACAAAAGACCAAGTCTTAAATGGCTAATTATACCCAGGCTATGTTTCTGGTTTTTAAGTAAACTATTTTTTTGTACTCTGCCAATTTGCGTTTATTCTTATCCTTAAGTAAACCCTGAAACAAAAAAGAGTAAAACATAATGAATGAACTGATATTTATTTAGTTGGCTCATTTATCTGCAATACTTTTCAACTCTCGATTTGCGTACAGTGGCAACCAAGCGTTGGCTTAAGATTTAAACCTGACTAACGTTCGGGGATTTACATATTTCTTATGCCATGTCACGTTCGCTCTGCAGCAGTCCTTGCCCCGAGCCCAACTGAAGCATCCCTAAGTCACTCACTCCGCTCTCTAACTAACCCAGCACTCAGCGTTGAGCAAACTTTGCGCTTTGTTCGCTTAAATTTCTTTTATTTTGTATTCTTTTTTTTTTCTTTGTTTTGTTTTTTGTTGTGTTATTTATTCATTTATTTTTTGTTGTGACTTATTTTTAGTAAATAATAGTTAGTTAGTTGAGGCTTTATTTATTTTTATTTGGCATCATTTGTTGTCGTTGTGGTTGTAGTTGTTGGCAGTTTGCTTTGCCGTCCATCTTTCTCTACCTCTCACTCTCTGGCTCTCTCACTCTCGCTTGCTCGTGTTTTCCTTCATAATTATTATTCCTGTTGGCCGTGGTGGCAAATGGCAGCTGCTGCCTGGCAGCCAACGCGCAGCTAATGCTGCCCGCAACAAGGACGCGGCAGAGTCTTTTGGTGGGCGGGGCCCCTGTGCGGTAGGTTTGGTCTTTTCTTTGCTTTCGCCATTTTGTTTGGCCTGGATTAGCATAATGCTATTTATTGTTGTGCTTTCGTTGTCATTCCCATTTGCAGTGCTGGCTGCTGCCATTTCTACTGCTGCTGCTACTGCGGCTGCTGCTGCTGTTGTTGGTTTTCAGTTAATGTTGTTCCCAGCTACTTGTATTTCTTCTTTCTTTTGTGGTTATGTAAATATATTTTCAGCTTCCGCATTGCAACTGCGCCAATGCCAACTGCTGCTCTTTCTTCTACTTCACTTTACGCTGTGCATTTGCTTGTTAGGCTTTTTCTGCACTCGCTTTAGCAACAACCTTCCTCGCCCATGTTATGATGGCAAAGTTTGTTGCTGATTCTCAATTCATTA